ACCCCCAAATACGCAAACTCATTGCACCAGAGTCAATTCTGACTCTATGCGAACCTGTAAGGACAGAGTAGAACTGCTCGATAGGATTCAATTTTTCCCACAAACTTTTGCCTCATATAAATTTAACTAACATAAGAGAATGGGATTCCTTGTCTTGGCTAGAAAACCACACAATCACAAAGGTGGGTTTGGAAATTACATGATGCTACAGATGTATACAAAGTTTACCAAAGTTAATGTTCTCAAGTCAGTATTTTGAGAGGGATGAGGCATAAACAACTATTAAAGCAACAATGCCAGCACCTTGTAGACAGTATAGGTATGATCTGTAAAACTAGTTGTCTATATTGAAATCTTACAACTTTTAACTATTGAATATAATTTATAAAAATCACGTAGGTTAAAACAAGGGGTTGTTTCTGAAATCTTTCCAATAATGAAACATCAATTTTCTAGTGGAAAGGCATACCATTGAAAACTGCATAAATTTAAATTTCTTTTTTTTTTTTTTGGTGTTGAAATGGTTTTTTATTTTTATTTTTGTTTTTTTGTTTGTTTCTTTTTTTTTTCTTTTTTAACATTTTATTTGGGGCTCATACAATTGTTATCCCAATCCATACACACATCCATTGTGTAAAGCGCATTTGTATATCGTTTCTCAAAACATTTTCTCTCCATTTAAACCCCAAATTTAAATTTCTGTGTAGCAATTTCCTTATATTTAACTGGTAACATTTACTGGTTTTCATAAAAAAAAAATAAATAAATAGCAGAACAGTATTGTAATAAGTTTTCTTAAAATATCAAATTCTGAATTTTCCATTATAATGGACAATATGGACTTCCCAGAAGATTGAAACTCATTGTATACAATGAATTGTGCTGAATGACATTTCAACACTGAGGTAACATGTAAATCTGACCTTATGGTCACTGCAGATGTGATTAGTAAAGATGATCTTTGTTGTTAAATGCCCATGAATTGGTTAGCAGCACGACTTACAACATAACAAAAAGTGCCCCAGTAATACACAATCCTCACAACTGTGGCTATTGTTTGAGCTCACAGTTGCAGTCATTGTGTCAATCCATCTCATTGAGGGACTTCCTCTTTTTTTCACTCCCCTCTATTTTACCAAGTATGATGTCCTTTTCCAAGGACTGGTTTCTTCTGATAATATGTCCAAAGTCTGTGAGATAAAATCTCACCGTTCTAGGTCATTAGGGAGGGCACTATTTGCTTTCTCACTGATGTCTTTGTAAGAGATGTAGCAAGAAAACAGACATGTTAAGATGAAGACAAAATTAGAGTTACATTTCCACAAATCAAATAACCTGAACCTATTAGATGCTAGGAGAGACTAAGGAGAAGCGTCCCCTAGAAAGTAGAGATGACCTAGCCAACATGTTGATCCCAAAGCTTTTAGTCTCCAGAAAAATGAGAATGAATTTATTTTACTACTTTGCAGCGATTTATTACAGCAGTTCTAGAAACCTAATATGCCCATAAAATTATCCCAACATATTGCTTAGGTGTACAATAGGCACTTTGCTTCTGAATTATCGTTTCTACTTCTGTTATATGTATACTGCTTTGGAAATTATAGACATTTCTGCTAAACTGTTATTATTCCCAGTGTACAGAGGTTCAAAAAGGATGAAATGATGAAATTTCGTAGAATTGCTAGTCAGTTACCACATAAAGTTAATGTATTGAGATGAACAATTTTGTAAATGTACTTAAAAAACCATACATAAGACTTAGAAAAGAAATTAAGGCTTGTAAGTAGTAAAGATTAGCCATCTAGCCACCAATATTCACTATCTGTCATGGACTACAACTAATTAGTCAAATATAAAATGCATTTGACTAATGGAAGGTTTAGCTGTACTTCTGACCTTGTATGAAATTGAAAACAATTTGTGTAATACTTACTTTGCAAACAGCAATAGTTACTTATACAGAAATTTTCTAATTTGAGTAACTAAAATAAATATTTTTCAATTTCCCAACATCAAGGCACTTAGATAGTGAAGGAACAGTACTCCCTGTATCTTTTGCATTCTCTATGAACTACGTCCTAAGTATTTCACTGGAGTACCTAGGTGGTGCAATTGGCTAACAGGCTCAGGTATTAACTAAAGGTTAGAAGAAGTCCACCCAGAGGCATATAAGAAGAAAAACCTGGAGATCTACTTCTGAAAAATCTGCCATTGGAACTTCCAAGTGGCTCAAGGCACAACTGTTAAGTAATCACCTGGAACAGAGTAAGGAAGAGACAGAAA